GTGTTTGAGGTTGCGCAACTCCGTGAATTGATCAAGTTAGACATTAATACCGTTAGATACCAGCTCAGTGGTCTGATGGTTAGGCATTCGCCTACAAAACCGAAGGTCCTGGGTTCGAATCCTGCGGGGTGCGGGAGTCGTGGTTGCGCACTGCTGAGGAGTCCCATACCAGGACGAAACGGCCGTCTTTCAGTGCTTCCAGGTTTCTAATGGTAGTCTAACATTGATCGATTCATGGTTTAAAAAATAGTAGGTCAGACGTGGATAAATAGACTTAAAATCAATGCGTCATAAAACAATCATTGACATTTTATGCTACAAACTGACGAAGTTGACTCGATGACAGACCACAAAGATGCTCACGAAACTGATCGAGCGACAAAAACCGATCAACCTCTAGGAGATACGCAGCTCTAACGATATCCCGGTATCATCAAGTGTATAAAACATAGCTAAGAATAAAAACTCTCGTTCAAATTTAAATGATTACAACGAGGAAACGGATCCTCCGGTCATCGGTAACGACCGCGACGGCTGTTGTAGTCTCTAGGTAACAGTCAATTGTTTTTCTTCCAGGACCGAATAACAGCTTAGCATTTCATTGTCGATACAGGAGCAGAAATAAGCGTTGTGCCTCCTATGAGTAATGAAAGGCGAAACATTTTTACAATGCTAACTCTAAATGTAGCGAAAATAAAAGGATGTTGGATTTCGGTCAGTATACTTCATTTCGCTGGAAGTTCGTCATAATGCATGTATCAGTGAATATAATCGGTATAGGTTTATAAGAAAGAATTTTGACTTATTAGTGGAGTCCTGACGAAATCATCCCTTGGTATTATAAATCCGTCTATCAGTCCCTGGGCGTCCTCATTGCACATGATCCAAAAAAGAATGACCATTTAGCGATTATTGAGCCCTTAACAAGCAAACTACAACAGATAGATATCCGGTCGCACACATCCAAGACTTCTTTAACGATTTGGATGGTACTACGATATTTTCTGGAAGATCAATCTTGTTAAGGTTGATTACTGTATTACTGCGACGTTGGAAGACATACCAGAAACAACAGTAATCACTCCATTCTGGACGCGCTTTTGCGTCCTACTGATCAATTGCCATTTGTTAACATGGATGGGCTAATTCAGACAAGCATCACTAATGAAGTAGTTTGCACTATATTTCACAAGCCAATGACTATTTGGACTCAATAGCTAAGTAGATAGATAACTTTTAATGACGTTTAAAGCGAACAATACTGGGTTCGAGCCTTGGAGTGAACTATATCACGTTTGTGGTTATTATTTCATGTAAAGTCTCCAATAAAAAAAACTCAAGTAGATTAACATTTCAAAAGTTGTCAAGTTATTTAACTATGATGAGAAATTATTCGTATGAATACCAGACCAGGAGAAAACGACCGACTAGTGCTTTCAGGGGTTGGTTATTGGTTGTCTAACAATGAATGATTTATGACTAGTTTTATCCTACTAGTTTGAGACTCCTCAAAATTGTGTATTCACACAATCCTACACCTAGAATTTGAATACAACAGCCTTGTACTCACATGTGACTTCTTAACACCTCTAAACTATTAAAGGGGCATCCAGTAATGTACATACTTACTTACTTACTTACGCCTGTTACCCCCAATGGAGCATAGGCCGCTCACCACTTTTCTCCAACCAACTCTGTCCTGGGCTTCCTTCTCCAGTTCTTTCCAATGTTTGTTCATTCCTCTCATATCTTTCTCTATTTCTCGGCGTAATATGTTCCTTGGCCTTTCTCATTTCCTTTTGCTCATGAGGGGTCCATGTGAGGGCTTGTCTCGTGACGCAGTTAGGTGCTTTTGGTAAGTGTGTGTCCTATCCACTTCCACACGCTGCTTCCTGATTTCCTCCTCCACTGAAAGAATCTGGTTTGTTCTCTCCCATAGTACATTGTTGATAGAAGTGTCTGGCCAACAAATCCGAAGTATTTTGCGTAGACAACTGTTAATAAACACTTGTATCTTGTGGATGATGGCTTTCGTAGTTCTCCAGGCTTCGGCAGCATACAGTAAAACTGTCTTCACATTTGTATTGAATATCCTGATTTTGGTTTTGGTTGAAAGTTGTTTGGAGTTGCAGATATTTTTCAACTGTAGAAATGCAGCCCTTGCTTTGCCAATCCGCGCCCTCACATCTGCATCGGATCCACCTTTCTCGTCGATGATGCTGCCCAGATATGTAAACGTGTTAATGTCCTCCAAGGTATCGCCATCAAGAGTGATTTGGTTGGTGTATATTATGTTGTATCGTAGAATCTTACTTTTCCCTTTATGTATGTTGATACCTACTGCTGCAGCGGCTGCTGCCACAGTGGTGGTCTTCTCTTGCATTTGTTGTTGCGTGTGGGATAGAAGATCCAGGTGATCTGCGAAGTCCAGATCAATGTACATACTTAACTTCATTCAATCCATGTTAATGCAATTCTTTCTTCAAACCAGTTACAGTCATTGGGATTCCTTCCACTAGGAGGAGGTCTTCAGGAATTTCGTCAAGAGTTCAATTCATCATAACCGATATTTTCGTTTATATAAGGACAATCGGTTATGTGAATCAACCCAGATAAGATTCATTTAGGCAACAAATTAATTTTTAGAAAAATAACTGAACTTGTTTTAATTATCTTTGATAAAATTAAATTTCTCATGAAGAAGGTGTACTTTAGTGACTGACAATTCATGATGACGATTTAAGTAATATGAAAAATATTCTATGAGTAATTTAAAGCATGAATTTTTTTCCCGGCTACTTAAAATAAAAAATATTTAACATTATTTAAAATTGATATATTCATTGTTCAATATCAAGGAAAATTGATTTCCGCAAAAAAATGTCTTCATTAGTAATGATGAATATAAACAATAAGAGGGTCAATGTCCAGTTGATTTATGAGATTTGTTTATTCAAACTTCAGCGAGTGTAGGAAATTTAAAGTATTATGAAATACAAAAAAGAGATCCGGGATGGGTGTTTCGTCTTATACGGGACTCGTCTTCAAACTAGATATACCTACCACACAACGCTAGGAGCTCCCAAACCAAAACATCTCACAAATCCACGAAGTCACCGACAAGTGGACTGAGTGATGTTGGTAGATATAGACTACCTAGTTGGGGTCCGCGAGACGAAAAACACCGATGGTTGGAGACCTTGAATGAAATGGCATGGAGCAGGTGCATTCATTCATTGTGTTCTGTGAAATTCTATAATCTTCTAAATTCCTCATCATTTCTATGTTTCTCTTTTTAAATTTATGTGACTGAAACTATACTTCTGGAATCATATCTTCGAACCCTCACAACATTCTCCATTATCGCTAAGACTTCTGTGGTGCGCGCTACTTATAAGTAGTATATGACGCGAGTGAAAACGTAATATCTGGCAGCAGAAGATGGGGGAAGATCAAGAAAGGAAGAGTGGGAACACAATGGAATTTGTATGAAACGCATGAACAGTGAAATGTCAGACAATGGATTGATGATGGATTTAAGATTTGCAAATTAAGCGTTTACGATATGGTTTTCCTATTTTACTGAGTAACTCTGTAATTTCGTTAAATACAATTTGGTTGTCCTCACCTGTGTTCCCCTTCACTGCACTTCTACTATCCCTACCACTATGGGATTCGAACTGACAGCTGCGTCGCTTTGCTAATGTGGTACGTACAAAGTTCAATGTTTTAAAGGTTTAAATATTCAATTTCTCTTTTATTGTTATGTTAAAGAGACTTTTCCATTGAGAAATTTTTCAAAGAAATTACATGATTAGTTGACATTTGAGAAGAAAAACATATTCAGCCACATTAACCCTTTTTGTATAATCCCAATTTCAGAGGTTATATAACTAATGTTTGTGATTTGACAGAGAATTTATGAAATAAAACGATTCATTTAAGTAGACTGCTATTTTATGAAATGTCCAAATCCTAATATTTTTATGATAAGATTTTCAGGCAGAGTTTTGGAGGTTTTGTGTTTTTACACATTTGAAATCATTAATCAATCAATCATTGTTAGACAGAGCACCATTAGAAACCTTCAAGCACTGAAAGACGGCCGTTTCCTCCTGGTATGGGACTACTCATCAGTGGCTGTGCGCATCCACAACTCCTGCACCTCGCAGGCAGTAACTACCAAAGACAAAAATGGGTGAAATCGCGCAAAATCCATAGATCAATCAGAGTTATTAGACATTAACACCGTTGGATGCCGGCTGACCCAGTGGTCCGACGGTTAAGCGTTCGCACAAAATACCAAAGGTCCCAGGTTCGAATCCTGCAAGGTTCAGCAGTCGTGGATGCACACTGCCACTGATGAGTAGTCCCATACCATGGGACGAGACGGCCGTCTTTCAGTGCTTGAAGGTTTCTAATTGTGGTAGTCTAACAATGATTGATTTATGATAGGATTTTGAAAATTGCTGAGTTGTTTAATCAAATCATGAATCAATCAATGTTTGTTAGACAATCAAAAGGAAACTTGAAAGTATTGAACAGACGTTTCGTCCACACACGGGATTCATCAGTATCAATATGCCATCCAATGCTTTTATTGTTTCTCATGGAGGTAGAACAATGATTAATTTTATGATTTCGGAGAACTCATTAAAATAACTGTACTATTTTTTTTAACGAACAATTAGTCATCATAGGAGAGAGGTCATCGTTTAATTACACATGTCAAAAGTCATTCTCAAATCGTGGAGAAAATGTGTCGCTCAGGTAGATGATTGTTGAGGTGGTGTTTCGTTCTCTGCGCTGGATGTATTTATCATGAAGAAATTCGAATACTTCACTACCTCTATCTGAAGTTTGTACTAACGAACAATAATGAAAGCTCCGTTAACCAAAACATCACAAATCTTCGTCAACTACATGATAATATTCACAAGTCATAATAATAAACGTCAATATTTATCATTACTATTATTAATATAACTGTAACAACTTACCTTGCCGAATTCACTGAAAAATGTTTTCAGCTCATCCGCTGTAGTTCCAGTGGAGACACCGCCAATAAATACTTTTTTTGTTCTGACCAACGCTTGTGCCGCCAACAATGTAGCTGACCAATGATCCAAAGTTAACGGACTACCACTTGTAACAGGTGATTGTATACGTGTAGGAACTGTACCAATGGATGAATTTGTTTCTTTCATGTTATGATTCCCATATACTGAGTCGACATGATTATTAACAGTAGTATTAGTAGTCATATGAGTAGTAGTATTAGTTGTACTGGTAGGAGTAGGAGTAGTAGTAGTAGTATTATCAGTAGTACTGTTATTATTACTATTTCCCGATATTCCCAAATCAGATGTGTCAATTGACGAAGGTGCAGTTAAATGAAAAGTTAATGTTTGTTCAATAAGTTTACCATCATCCATTAACATAATCCTATGATTTGTGTTTTGTTGTAAGGAAACTTTAACAGAAAGGTTCGGTTTTTGCTTGAAAGACAATTGAAATTATTCTATTATACACTGGTAATCAATGATATCAAATAATTTTGTGATTGTTTATTTAATGTGACACATGTGAATTTTGGTACACATTTTGTTTGCTCGACCTGTAAACACTAATGTTAGGACGATAAACAACCGTCATCGATGTGTGAAGATCGGCATACTGGTTGTATTTTTCAGTTGACGTACAAAAACAAAAAGGGTTCACTTATAGACACACGCACACACATACACACACACGCTGAGATGTAAATTTCATCAAAATGATTTCCTAATTTGTTGTTTGTTTCACTTAAACTCTAAATTACCTTTTTATGCAAAAAAAAAAATTATACGATTATCTCTTTCATTTTGTATGATTATTCGGTCAATGATCTGTTGTGATTGGTAATTTGTTTCTAAACTTGACGCACAATGCTGATTGGTCGAATAGGTCATATCCAATCAAATTTCAATAATATCTTGTTCAACAACGTTGTTATTACTGATTTCAATTGTCAATGATCATCCGCAACGATTGCATGTTGAATACGAACTGATATTTAGTAGTAGTAGTAGTAGTAGTAGTAGTAGTAGTATGTGTTGTAGTTTCAATAAAAAAATTCTTTTTTTTTTTTAATAACCCGCATTGAGTTTGTTTGAAATTGCTACGCATCATTCTAAAACAATCGACATACACATATACAGAATTGGACAATATCAACATAATTTTGATGTGTGCTTTTTTTTTGCTATGTTGTTTTAATAAGTGATTTGTTTGTTCAAAATTTCTCTTTGATGTATCTTGTAATCAATGAAAAAATAGTAGACACGAAACAATCAAAGCCAATTGTAATTAAAAATGTGATGCGGGTCAGTTTTTGTATTTTGTTCAATGTTGAAAAAAAGAGAGAAGAGAGATAATTTAAATTTTTATTGTTGTTAATGTAATCAATGCTATGATAATGATTATTTAACCTTAGGTTAATTTGTCTTTCTAAAGCAGTGACTTATTTGATGATTGTTAAAATAGAGTTGATTTATTGAAGAAGAATTATGTTGCATTGGTGTAGCGTATTTGAAGCTTTTATTGCTGCTACAAACTGTTCAGTCAGTCAGTCAGTCAGATGCAACGTAGAACTTCGTACGTAAGTACATCAGTTCATGTTGCCATACCACATTAGCACAGAGATGTAATTGTCAATTCAAATCCAATAGTAGAAGAGCTAGTAAAAGTATTAGAAGTTATCGGAGAGGTTAGGATTAGAAGATATTATTGAAGAGATGTAGTCTATACAACCACGTCCATGTCGAAAACCAGTCTGGTTTTCTCGAGTCTGCGCTTCATGAGCTTTCGTTAAGCACCGAAGTATTATTGAGGCCAAAATTTTAGATACTATATTAGTTAGACTTATTCCTCTGTGATTGTCACAAAAAGACTTTTGTCCTTTCTTATAAATTGGGACAATCAGTGATTGAGACCAGTCGGATGGGATTACGTCCAGTTTCCAGATTCTACCTAAGATCTCAGTCAACCTAGCTGCTAAAACTGGACCACCATCCTTAAATATCTCAGGGGTCAGTCTATCAGGACCAGCAGCTCGTCCTCGCTTCAGATTTCCTAACGATTTCTCAATTTCAAAAAGACTAGGGTCACTTACGTCGATTCTCCATTCAGGATGACCGGAGATCGTGGGTAACCGAAGAGTGGCTCGTGGCCAGTTGAACTGATCACTAAAGTGTTCTGACCATCGATCCAGTCTCCTGGATTGAGAATAAATAATAGTCCCGTCATTTTCTGAGATAGTCTCACTTACACTAGGATTTCTAATACCAGTTTCCTTGATAAGTCGGAAAAGTCGTCTACTGTTGCCGATCGCCGTTGCCTTTTCTATCGCTTTTGCTTTCGCCACCCACCACTGTTCGCGATCGTTACGTAGGCTTTTCATAAGTCTGCGCCTAAGTTGACTTCGTTCTTCATCATGTTCAGAGCCAGGTGGGATGAGTTTTCGGGCATCCATCAGATCGGTGGATGCTACTGAGATCCACGGCTTCATTCTAGCCTCATGGTCAACCTTACTAGCAGATATCACTGCTGTTTCCACAACCATTTTGATATCATTCCATCCTGCTTCCAGATGGGAATCGCTTAAATGGTCGCCTAACTGTCTTTCAAGTTGTTCCTGAAATATATTCTTCGCCCTATTATCATTAAGTAAAACCCTGAGAGGCTTTCTCATGGTGTCTTTCCTACGTCCAGTAAGCTTCAAACAAATACGCGCTCGCACTAGGGCATGATCTGAATCTAGACATGTGCCCCAGAACGAGCGACAGTCTTCTATCGCATCTCTTGTTTGTGGGGACTGTTTTATAATTGTTGTCGATTAGATTCACTCTATTATTGTATATGCTTACTAAGTTGTCAACTCATTTATTCTGTTAGTCAGTCAGTTACAACGTAGGACATCGTACATACGTACATCAGTTCCAGTTGTCGTACCACATTAGCGCGCATTCAAATCCAGCAGCCATAGATGTAGTTAAAAAAACTGGACGTAGAGAAGAAGTTTAAGGTTGCAAGATATTAATTATTCAAGGGGTATAATTCAGTCAAAATAAATTTAGAAATAGTAAGATAGAGATGATGAGTAATTCGGAAGACTAAAAAAATTTCACAGAACACAAAGAGTAGATGCACCTGCTCCATTGCAAACGATTTTGAGCCCGGTCATTCAAGGCCTCTTTCTATATATAGGTAGTCTACATCTATCAACATGATTCAGTCCACTTGTCGTTGACTTCATGGATTTGTGCCATATTTTGGTTTGGCCGCCCATAGCTTTCTTCCAACCTATTCCTACACTACAAAACAAGGCTCGTTGAGGCAGTCGATGACTGGGCATTCGTAACACATGTCTCAATCACCTCAACTGATGAAATTTCAATATTTTTGGCTAATGATCAGCCCTCCTTAGCTAGTAAGTATCCTTTTTCCTAACATCAGTATTGCTTACTGAAATGCTCATGGATAAACGAGCAATGCTTGGGAGACACCAATGAGTGATTACTAGTAACCTACGTAAAGCCAATTGAGCCTTCTGTATCCGTGCTGAGATTTCGTCACACACCTGGTCATTTGCACTAATGAAACTCCAAAGATAAGTGGGGAACACGCTCAACTACTTCACTCCCTTTCACTAGTTCAAGTCACTTTTTTTGATTGTTCCTACCTCCTACCTCCTCCTAACTAACACACATTGCTCCTAACACTCCCCTAGCACATAAGTTTCACTCAAACTTACCAGAAGCTGAAGTCATGTTAGATGATTTTATATAAGTCAATGGAAATATAAGCAATAACATTTATTTTGAACGTGCTTTATTTATTACTACCAACGGTGGAGTTTATATAAGTAGTGTATACTATGGAAATGCATCAGAATGTTGCTCTAAATTTACAACCAAAGAAGAGAAGAGTTTCAAATATGGATCTATCGTTTGATCTAGTTGTTTTGAGGAATTTCAAAATACCGTAATGAAAGCAGACGAAAAGAAGACTTGCTATACAAATGGATAGTCAATGATGAAAGGCAAACTTTTCTATTAGTAGGCTGTATTTGCTCATGAGAAACCTGGAAGCTGTGGACAGTCGTTTCGTCCTAGTATGGGACTCCTTTGCAATGTGCATCCACTACTCTCGCTTGTGGGACTGGAATCCAAGACCGTTAGATATTAGCAACAACCGGCTTAACGGTTTAGAGGTTAAACGAAACCGAAGGTTTTGGGTTCCATTCACGTGATTGATGGTCGTAGATATGAGCAGAAAATGAGCCTTATACTAGGACGAAGTGGCCTTTTTCCAGTGCTTGTAGGTTTTGGATGGTCGTCAAACAATGACTGATTCATGATTTGTGAGCTTTATTGCTATGTAAATTGGAAGGTTTGTCCTGATGAAAATTGCAGATGGTTTGGAATTAATTTGGCCAGTTTTTATGATCGTCCATATACAACTTTCAGCCGGCTGGGTAATCGATTTCATTGATACTGGTTGCTGTCTTGAAACATTCTCATTTCGGACTCTGTTATGCTAATAAGAATGAGTTTGACAGTCGTGTAAGCGCGATAAGTCAAATAGGCCTGCATATGATGTGCGTGTAGATTGGCGCGATGATAGATTGGAAATTTATCAGTATATGTACAAGTATACATAAATGGCGTCATCAGATTGTCAGGTACCACCTGTATAGTGCTTGCGCTACAGGATTGAGTTGTACTGTTCATGTTACAATGGACAGTGCTTGGTTAGCCTGAAAACCAGCATGAAACTACCTTTTCCCCTTAAGGATAGTGAAATAGATTATCATTATTTAAATAGTTACATAATACAAACTAGTTATTCAGGTGCAATACACAAAACACTTGTATCTCTTATCTTCTTTCATTTAAAAGTTCTGTCAGTTAGTCACATTGTTTGCTTGTTTTATTCGTCGACATAAACTACTACTTTTCCTCTGCATATTGAAGCATATAGAAGCTTATCTTCAATAATATTTCAAGTTTTTATCTTACTAAACTGATGACAGAAAATTTTTGTCTGTTTTCTGATCGAAATCATGAATCGATCAATTTGTTTGAACACCATGAGAAACCTGGAGCACTGGACGGCCGTTTCGCCTTAACAATACCTGCACGTCAATCAGTAACTTAACAATCTCCACAACCCCATAATGTAATTACCTGTTCTAACTTATGACTAGCTTTATGAGAAAGTTTCTTCGAGTTCTAGGGAGAAGTCGGGACCTGTAGAGTTAAACCCTGTCCGGTGTATGCAGTAACTACCAAAGACAAGTGAGTGATGTTATGCAAAATCCCTAGATCAATCAGAGTTAGACATTAACACCGTTAGATACCGGCTCAATGGTCCTAGGGTTTAGGCGTTCGCGCACAAT